TTAGTTACTCTCTCTCTCTCTCTCTCTCTCTAGTTAGTTAGTAGTAAGTAGGTAGTAGTAAGTAATATATAGTATATGTAGTAGTGGTTAGTGTCGTCTCTCTCTCTCTCTCTCTCTCTCTCTCTCTCTCTCTCTCTCTCTCTCTCTCCATGGTTATGACATTGGTTCGCTGCGAAATGTATTTATTCTTTGCTGAAATTGTTTAGTTGGCCTTCGAGTTTAGTCACAAGTACACTTCCAATTATCTGATTTGAAATTTTTATCACCACCTCTTTTTACTAGAAGTAAATGGTCTCTTCTATATTGTTCGTTTGTTTTTTTTGAGAGAGGCTTATATTTGATAGTTTTTTTTATACTTTTCTTTTATTTTTCTAGAGAGGGACTTATATTTCATAGTTTTAATGGGATTTCCTGGCAATGAATGGTATCTGTTTCAGGAACAGGGGAAATTGTGAGGTGCTCTCCGAGCAAGAGGGCAGAACTTTTCTATGGGGTTTTAGGAGGGCTTGGTCAATTTGGGATCATAACCAGTGCCAGGATTGTGCTAGAAGATGCACCTCATAAGGTACGTGTCCACCATTCTACAAAAAAAAAAAATTCTATTTCTTTTGCTTTCGCTCCTGCATCGTTAAAACAACCCCATTTAAAGAGAGATTGAATGAGAGTTTGCTGTGGGAGAGAGAGAGAGGGGCTAACGTCTCCCTTTCTTTTAGAGAGAGAGAGAGAGAGAGAGCAATGCATCTGTTTTGTTATTGTTGGAGTGTAACTGTAACCTTTTCCGATACAATCTTGCATCTTCTCTCTCTACAATCTTTCTTTGTACCCACTCATTTTTTACGTTGATTCCTCCCTAAAATAACTCGCTAAAAACCAAGCCGTTTCCCACCCACTGACTCTATTTTAAATCGGTCAGGTGCAACCGGGGTTTGGTGCTTTCTGACAAGCGTCAAAATTTGTTAACTTATGTTAGGTGACGCAATTAGATCTAGGCCGTTGGATGTTACCACTACCGAGTGGCCTAATTGGGGGCTTAATCTCTATTTAGGACAAAAGCCTAAAACATGTTCACCTGTTTCGAAACTTCTACTTCTTAAACACTGTTCCAAAAATCAAAACAGACTTGGAAAATGGCCAGGGGCCGCTCCTAGTAACCGGTAAACCGGCTGGTTCACCTAGATTAATCGGGCTGGTCCTGACCTTGACAACAAGTGTTAGATAAATAAAAATTATTCTAAAAGTATCCAAAGTATTTTTTAAAAAATAATTGAACAAACCACATCCGAATGAAATTAAAAAATAGTGAAAACATTGGATTTCAAAAAAGGAATATATGTAATGAGACCATTTACCTTTGAAACAAAGTGGTCACAATTGATCTTGACCATTAGGATGGATTTTTTTTTTTTACAATAAACCATTGGATTTAAAATTTGGTGGCTGCATTTATTTCATTGGTTAAGTTCAAAATTCAATTTTTTGTTTTCAAACTTTGTGATACATCCAAACTATCAAATTTCACATATTATGGTTACGGTTGTATGTGATTGTTACCTTTCTATACAAAGAAAAAGTAAAAGGTGCAGTTGGCATACGGATGCATATGTAGGTGTAGAAATAAGATGCACCTTCAAATTTTATCGTGGTATATAATTTTGATGTAAAATGTTCTTAGGATTAGCTCAAAATCTTTTTTTATATCTAATTATAAAATTTTACATTTAAAAAATGATTAAAATTAAGTAGATCTATGGACGGTAGATAATATGTTGTAAAATGCACTATATCTGAGATTTAAAATCTTTATATTTTTCATGGTCATAAATCTCGATGTCGAGATGATCGAGATGATCAATCGAAGGGTTTTTCAACATTAAAATTATTTTTTTCGATGGATTTTTGAAATGCATCAAAAATCCATCCGTAGTTCTACATTATAAGGTTGCATCTTATATAAACTTTTTCGAAAATAGATATACAATCTCCTTAAAACAAAAAAAAAAAATGCAGTTTCTATAAGGCTGCAACGATATTTGTTGACATTGGGCTGCAGCTCTCTGTTCCGTTCATTTATTTTGATGGTACGGATTTTGCTCACTGCCCTATACGGCTGCAGCGATATTTGTTGACATTGGGCTGCAGCTCTCTGTTCCGTTCAAGGTACAGATTTTGCTCACTGCCCAATAAGGACTACTTGTAGAACTGGGCTCCCGGTTACGTTGGTTGCCCTTTGTCCGGGGTTTAAATTTCAGTTTCTATAGGGCTGCAGCGATATTTGTTGACATTGGGCTGCAGCTCTCATCTATTTTGATGGTACGGATTTTGCTCACTGCCCTATACGGCTGCAGGGATATTTTTTGACATTTGGCTGCAGCTCTCCGTTCCGTTCATCTATTTTGATGGTACGGATTTTGCTCACTGCCCAATAAAAACTACTTGTAGAACTGGGCTCCCGGTTACCGTGGTTGCCTTTTGTCGAGGGTTTAAAAAAAGGATGAGTCAAGCGCGTCCGGCTCCACTCGATAATAACGAGCCGATTCCACACGTAAAATTAGAACCACCCTAATGTTTTCGCATGCCTACCTTATTTCATATTTCATATTATATAGGTATTTATATAGTAAAGTTGAATATCTATCTTTCGAAGTGGGATAATTCTCGAACATTATTAATGAAAACGGAATGTAAATATATTCTATTAATCAACAACTTATAATCACATTCAACGAGACCTTCGCTATTTCTTTTGACCTCCCAAGGTCGAATCCCCTTGGACGTTACATTTTTGTTGTATATAGTGGTATAAATATTTTTGTAAATAATATAAAAAACATAGAACAATAAGAAATAAAAAAGTTCAATTTTTTTATAGCAGTTAATTTTTGTTATATATAGTGGTATAATTATTTTTGTAAATAATATGAAAGGTATAAAAAAATAAAAAATAAAATCATGTAATGTACGCATTTTATTAATTTTTACATTGATAACCAAATTTTTTATTTTATTTATTAATTTTTACATTATAAATCATGTAATGTACTATTTTTCTTACAGTTGTCAATAATACATTTTAAATTAGATAATATTATAAAATATTTTTAATTTGTTATTATTTGTCTAATAAAATAAGTATAAAATATAAACTAATAATTATAATTTCATTATATAATATTATAATTAGTTAAGTTGTAATAATTTTGGATTATAGTTAGTTAGACTGTAATAATTTGGGTTTTTTTAGCGGATTAGGGTTTTTTTTGTCGAAACGAGATTTTAATGATTATTCTTTCATTGATTTAGTCTACTCTTTATAATAGTCCATGTATAATTATATATTTTATCCATGATAATTCTATGATTTTTCTTTTATGTGATGCAAATTTAATAGTTAACATTAGTTTGTACAGAGAAAGAGCATCTCAATATTCACAAATTGATGAAAAAAATGAAAGTTAATAATGTAGTACATTCATTTCTTATTGGATTCCTAAAAGATAATATTTATAACGGTTTTTAATACTTTTTTTAAAAAAATTTAAAGCTTAATCCGACCTATTCGGCCGATTCTCGATCCGGATCGTCGATTCGTCGATCCATATGGATTTTTGAGATGCCCGATCCGAATCACCGTTCCGCTTTTTAAACCATTGCTTTTGTCTTTTCTAAAAAAATTTCTCTCTTATCTTTTCCATGGCCACAGATTCCCTTCCACCCATTTAACTCTATGTTCATTCTCGCTCTACATCCTCACTTCCTAAATTCCTTTCCATGCTCACACTCAAGTTTCTCTCTCAACAATGTTAGCCCTAGTTCAAGCGATTTCTTCATAACAAAATGCCTATGGCTTCTACTACTGTAACCCAAATGTAAGGGATTCCACTTTTCAGCCACTGCAACATTTGCTGCATGCTGATAACACAATAAAAAAACCTAGAGAGAGAATATTAACAGGTGGGTTTAAAGAAGGAGAGGATGAATCTTTTGTGGCTGTACCAGTAGGTAAGAGAGAGAAATCACAACACCAAAACAGGGACATGGGAAGAAGAGGGAGATAGAAGTATGTAGATAGAGACAAACAAGAAAACCCTTGGATTAAGGGCAAATTTATTTGAATCTTCTGGTTTTTGAAGGATCTTTATAAATTTTATATAGGATAAGTTCAAGAATTCTGGTGCATTAATCATGGCAATCTTACAGGAGATTCGTTCATCTATTTTCAGTACCTCTGAATTTGCTCAGTTCTTTCAATTCCAAATTTCTTGCAAGTATTTTTCTAAGGATTTTCGTCAACCCTCTTAAAGGACCCCAAAATTTTCAGAGTAGATAGAGAAAACGGGTTGGGTTCTGGGTATGTAGTTAGGGGTAGAGAGAGAAGATGGGGTTCAGATAATTGGGTTTATTAAAGAATGTGTGTCGCTGAGAAGGGATACCAGAGAAAATCAAACTATTATGTACTCTTCTAGATGGTGGCAAGGGTCGTGAGGTGATTTTCCGGCAACCAGATAAAAGAGAGGAATGTTTTCCGGCAACGAGAAAATAGAGAGGAGAGTGCTCCTAGAAGCTCATTAACTTTTCTGCATAAGAGGGAGAAGAAATGGGGAAAAAAGTTGGGAATGAAAATGAATGGGAGGGGTAAACGGCGCCTCCCATTTCCCGGTTTTACGTCCACACCGATCAAAACTTATTGACGGCGTAGGAGGCTGCAGCCCAACCTATTTCACTGAGGCTGCAACGTTATAGAAACATTTTCCTTTAAAAAATCGATTTGTGGCCCAGGGTATTTTAGAAATAATCTAGAAAAGAAAAAAAAATGTTTAAAAAAATATATATTCATGGCCCAAAACACTTTCCAAACTTTGCCAAAATGATAAAAAACATTCAAAACATATTACAAACAAATACTTATTTTTTGAAATTTTATATTTGTTTTGAATTTTTCTTTAAAATACCAGACTAGACCACCCAAAACTAGCCAAAATCGGATTGGCAAGTGCCCGGTTCCAGTTTGGCGGACTAATTCCAAGTTGAACCGTCTGAATTTGCGAATACTGATTGATTCTAAACCAATATACTCCTTTAGTTCAGCTTTTTCGGAGAGTTCGGAACTAGGTCGGCTGGCTCCGAAGTGGCCATTTTAGAAGGAAAAATTAATTAAAAGATATGAAGGTAAATATAAAATGTCCTTCAATTCCTCTGATCATTAGGTATATTAAAAGTAAACAAAATTTTACCCCCCTTATGCTTTACTTGTTTTTGTGTTTTTAAAGCTGGTTTTCTCAGCTCATATGAAAGTTTAGGCAATTGCATTTGTTGAGTATGTCCTTGTCAAATGACATTGTAATGGGCCGGCAATGTACGTGGTGCTTACTTGGAGTTGGAATTGTTTTATCCTAATTTTCTGTTGATTGACACTTCACATGTTTGCTTTTCTCTCTCTCTCTCTCTCTAAATGTATTGCAAAGTTTGGTTTTTATGGACGTACTTCAATTATCGACTTCCAGTAGGTCACTTAACTTGTGTGGAAGTACCAAAGTACCATACATTATTGAAATATGCTCTCCTTCTATTTCTCTCTCTCTCTCTCTTAATATGTGTTTTCTCTCTCTATTCTCTCTCTCTCCAGTTTCCACTGCTACGAATCAAAGCCACGGGACTGTGTTTTGGTGATATATAAAATATGAGCGCTATTCTGTGTGGGAGTTGTTCAAATCTATTTTGTAATCACCCACCTATGATTCCTTATCTACTTGGGTTTGGGTTCGGTCAAATAGTTCCAATACACTTTCTGGACACTCTCTCTCTTCCATACTTTCTTTGTTGCTGATATTGGGACCAACGGGTGGGACTGTTGATTAGTACTTTAGTCAGTCTGGTCCGATAATCAGTTGAAACCACCGATTGAAAAATTGGTTAAGTAGTTTCTACTCAGCCTCGGCTCTTGCTGAGTTGAGTTGTCCCAAGTTGGGTGTCCAACTCCCTGATATTAAAAAATAAAAAATATAAAAAATTCTAAAAAATAAGAACTTCACTTGGGATAGTTTTCTTTATGTTTTTTATCTTTTAGGCAAGGATTGGAAAGTGTTTTTTACCATAAATACTTATTTTTAATATTTTCCCCCTTTTTTTGGGTTATTTAAAAAATACCTCAGAGTTGATTTTTTAAAATCTATTTTTTTACTACATTTTTAACGAAGTGTTTTGTTTAGTCTGACTTTAAATATACATTTCCTATTTTTTGAATTTATTTAATTTTTTTTATAAATTTTTAACCTTTGTTTTCTATTGCTTCGTTACTCAACACTACTCGGCCAAGTTACTCGGGCCCACGGCCAATTACTAGGCCCGAGATGCACTTTCTAACACCAGTTGAAACTGAAATTTCGCAAATTTGGGCCTTTCATTCGCGCTTGCAATGGGTTGGATTGGCTTGCTCTTATAAAAATTGATTCAAGGTGTTTGTCCCTCTCACTTGCAGGTAAAATGGGTGCGGGCATTCTATGATGATTTTGGGGCTTTTACAGAGGACCAAGAAATGCTGGTTTCAATGGCAGATAAGGTGGATTATGTTGAGGGTTTTATGGTATTAAATGAGCAGTCTTTGGAAGGTGCTTCCGTTGCCTTTCCCTCACATTTCCACTTTATTGCCTCCAATACCAATAATACCTCCCAAGTTTACTATTGCGTTGAGATTGCGTTTTATTATTACTCCCAAAAGGCATCCCATGTGGAAAAGGTACACTTTCACTATCACACTTAAAAGGTTTTTGTCTTGCATTTTCTAAGATTTTGCTCTTGCCCTTTTTGATGCTACTTTTCCTTTTTGGGACTATCATGTATTATTTGTCGCCATATTCCCAATGTGCTATCGTTGCAACTGCCATTAATCAATGGGAAATTCATGAAACCATGATGAATGCCACTGCATTCTCCTATAAATCCATATAGAATAATAGAAGACATCACAAAAAATGTCAAATTTACCCCACACCTCCAATACCTCTTAAACTTCATCACTAACCCAACATTGTTCTTGCTATTTTTTTTGAAACAAAAGATTAACTTTTTTAGGATGAAAATACCCCTCTAAAACCACATTTTTTTACCTACTCTCTCTTTGGTAAGGGCTCAAGCTGGCCTGACACACATTTTCGATAGAGACCCAAAGGTGATTGTTGTGCATAAACAACTTTGCTTATTGCGAAGCCGGTTTGGTACATTGTGATGTGCCAGACCAACTTTAATTGTTTTTGTCATAATTTTTTTTTTTTTACTTTAGCGTGGTTGCAAAAAACGAAGTAGTATTGTAATTAATAATGTGGTTTAAAAAGTAAAACCTATTGATTTTATTAATGGGTCTGTTTAAAAAGTTTTGAGTCTAGGTGGTATCCATAATTTCTAATAAAAAAAAAAAAGAGTCAAACCCATTGATTTCATTAATAAGTACAAAATATGATTTTTGCTTCCGCTTCTCAAATAATAAATTAGGGTATGAATTGGGCTTGGGCTTGACCGATAAGACGTTGATATTAACAAAAATACATCTCAAATTCGATTCCTACAACTGAACCATCTACAAATAAATAAATAAATAATAGCTAAGGATAATTCTGCAATTTGACTTCCATAAGTAGCCCAAGTCAAAGGATACATTTTTCCAATCTGATCTGGATTTCAAAACCCGAATATACTCTTCCATAAAAAAATTTGGTTAGAATTAGTTTGGCTCGACTTTAGTGGTCACAGCGGAACAATGACTATATTAACTTAACTAGTTTGGTTCTAAATTTGTCACGTGTTTTTTAATAAAAGTTTCATTTAAAATTCCAAACGCAAATGAGGCCGAATACCACGCGATCATAATTGTGGCATTTTTGTATATTATGTAAAATACTCTAAAAAGTCCACATTATTGATATTTTAGTTGCTTTTACCACTTCAATAATATTTTTCAAGGTACCCAGTTATTTTAATGATATTTTTATATTTATTATTAATGCCCTAAAAAATGTGTATCGGGAATTGTTCATCCGAATTGGGAATCGGTGGGACTAGCCCAATTAGAATGAGAATCGGTCCGATTTTGATAGACTCACCCAGTTATGTCTGAGTAATCAGTTAGTCTCTAGGAATCAAACTATCCTGATAAGTCGAATTGATGGTTTCCACCAAATTTTCTTTGCACTGTTTTTCAATTTTTAAATTTTGTCAAATATGAAAAATGTTGTTTAAATTTATTTGAACTGGAGAATAGGTCCAATCTGGCCCAGATCAGCAATCTAGAACAGTCAAGTGATTGACCTATCCGGCATCCCGATCTTGGCTTTAAAACACTGCTTGTTACTGAGTTCTTGCGTTGATATGAGCTCTTCGAGAATTGTAAACACACACTTGAATACTGCATTCTGCCTCGTATGCTTCTATTTCCTGGTGATTCTTGTTGTTTTGGTTAGAAATTGACTCCTTTTTCCTTTTTGATTTCTTTCACAGGTTGCAAAGGAGACACTACGAAAGCTAGACTGCATCCCCTCTCTTGTGTATGAAACGGAGGTGTCCTACTTTGATTTCTTGAACCGCGTGAGTGCCGAAGAGGCAAACCTTCGGGCTCGTGGTTTGTGGGAGGTGGCTCACCCATGGCTCAATATGTTTGTGCCAAGGTCCCAAATAAAGGCCTTCAAAGACCTCCTACTGCAAACCATATCACCAGACCATTTTGAGGGGCCAATCCTTATCTATCCAATTCGAAGAGACAAGTAAGCCCCTCGCATCTTTCCCGTATACTTTCTGACACCATAGTAAGGGTGGCAATGGGCCGAGTCACCACAAATAGAGGTTGCCCCGGGGCCTCTTTGGCTCTATGAGGGTGGGCTGGTCCGATTGGGATTAGGTTGGGCTAGGGCCATGCCTTGCCCAGCTCATTGCCCACTCTATATTATAGTCTCTATATTATAGTTAGGGATGAAATGGATTCTCAAGCCATTTTAAGAATTATTGACACCAAAATTACATCTTATGATAAAATTCGTCGGTGCACATTATCTTAATTGTTTAGGGTTACAACCTTATGCAAACCACACCTGTGTAATTTTTACTACATGCCTCAATGAAGTGCACGCACTAAAACTGTCTTCTCGATTTGATAATTAAAATAAAATAAAAGTTAAAGAGTAATATGCACTCTCTACCATCTGATCAACATTTGTCTTGAGAGTGCCAACGTTTTGGTGACAATTTCACGTACACATATATACACATGCATATATGTATGTATGCATGTATGTATGTTTTGACAGGAAAGATCAAATCAGGTCTGGTCCTACCGGGTTAGGTCTGATTTGGGGTGGACTTCACTCTAACCTGACCCATTTACGGCCTCAAGCATGAGTGAGGGCCTATGCTATGCGCAATCCCAAAACTTTAGGGTTAAGGTCTTGAGGAGAGTGGTGGGGGACCATGAAACCTAAATGATTGGGCATCTCAACTTGGGTGTTGTTTTATTGTTAAGCTTTTTAGGGGCCTTTATCGATGGACTATCCCTTTTTGAATCTCGGAGATGGGCACCTTTGTAATGATTTGGGGTTTTTTCTTTATTAATGAAGTGATTCCCCTGGTTTTTAGGCCAATTTATAACAAAGGCCTTTCTATGCTGTGAAATTCATCCCTGGTCCAATTATTATAATAATCGTTATTGTAATGAAGTGCTCATATGACTTCTCAAAAATAAAGCCATGGAGAAGATGGCCTTTCTAGTTAAGGGTTAGGAGCTGGGAACCCCTCTTAACTGGCTGAAAAGGAATTTCTCAAATGATTAATTTTGGATTTAGATCCAATTCCCGTTCCATCTCATTCTTCCATGAAGAATTAGAATTTGGCCAAAAGATATTCGACTCCCACATGAGTAGAATGTTCATGTACTCACTTCCATAAAGCCCCACATAGAATTACTTTTAGGACCTCAAATTTTGGATATGGAACCTCTTCAACCCATAGATTAACTTCAATAAAAAAATTCTTAATTGCACCCACTATGTACTTGTAAAAAATTGTCTCAAGATTGAATAGAAACCATCCAATTCTTAGATGGTGGGATCTAAGTATTACAAAACTCAAATTTTTCATTTCTTTAAAAGGATCATCTAGTAATTTTATATGGTTCCCAAAATTTCAAATTGAAAAAATACTCCCAAATAGTTCTTTAGATTGAGGGAGTAAAAGTAAACGATAGCCCAGAGAAAGCATAGTACATGTGCTCTTAAAATTGTATTCTTGAAAAAACAATAGAATTGTATTTTTGGGAAAGGAAATGAGCAACATGGACCTTAAGACCATTGTTTAATAATCGCGTCTCTGACTCGAGAATCATCTGCATCGAAACGAATCGTGAGGCTAGCAATTCCTTGACAATAAAAACCATATTACCTAGCCCGACTTGGGAACGGCCGAGTCAAACTGGGTAAGGTTTTGGTGAGTCCACCGACTCGCTTATTCATATGAGTCCTCTATCCAAAATCCATCCTAGAGATAGATTTTGGATCTAAAAGTTTATGAATTGATAATCTCAGCATTGGTCAAAATGCATATTAAAAAGGAGAATAAATTTTTAAACATAATAAAATTTTGTGATCTTTTATTAACCCCGTTCATTCCGGGTTTACGGGGGCCACCATTTTTCCATGTGCATTTCAAGATGGAGGTGGGATGTGTAAAGGAACACACCACACATGTAGAAGTGCGTTCTCACACACATAAACAATTTGCAAAGATATATTTTTTTTGGGAAATTTGCGAAGATTTTTTTTTTTGAGAAAGGGGCTGGGGTTGTGATGGTATCACCCCTGTACCTTAGTCACCACATTGTGGTTTTCATTTCCACCGACACCACTTTACTGACACCTTCAAAAAATAACCCCTATTTGAAAATATGGGTAGGAGTGATTTCCCTGCCGAATTACCCAAAAACAATTTAATTTGCCATGGATTTGTTACCAAAAAAAATTCCCATCTCTCCCTCTTAAACTTGCTCTTAACCGTGTGTTTTTCTTGGATTTATTGCGCATAGGTGGAATGGAAACACATCAGCTGGTAAACCCTGAATTACCTAAAAACAATTTAATTTGCCAAGATGGATTTGTTACCAAAAATTATCATCTCTCCCTCTAAAACTTGCTCTTTACCATGTGTTTTTCTTGGATTTATTGCACATAGGTGGAATGGAAACACATCAGCTGTTTTACCAGAAGATAAAGAGAACATTCTTTACATAGTGGGCATGCTAAGGTCAGCCTCTCCTCAATGTGTATCAGAATCTCCATGCCTTCAATCCTATCTACAGCAAAACAACAAGATCACAGAAGGGGCCACCTCCATCTCCTTACATTCAAATTCCAAAATTCAAATTGCAGACCCCAACGGTCAAGATCATGAACTTGAGACGATTTCTGGATCCGATAGCCTGAAGCGGTCGGACCTTGGTGGGAAACTGTATTTGTCATATTACTCTGAGGAGGAGCACTGGAAGAAACATTTTGGTGGGAAATGGGAGAGATTTTTGGCGCGAAAGAAGATGTTTGATCCGCTCCAGATACTAGCTCCAGGGCAAAGAATTTTTAAGAGGAAATACAGTGCGCATTTATGAATTTTTGTTTAGCTTTTTTTCTTTTTACTTTTATTGGGGAGGGGGGAGAGGAAGTTTGTGTTTTAAATCCATTTATGGGTATATGGGCTGTTGTACAGAGAGGAGAAGGGGAAAGTAAATGTTACAGAGCTCAAGGTCTTCTGCCCCATGTTTTTTTCTCTCTTTTCAATATAGCTAAAGGACCCCAGTTTTCGCATGGCCTCACATCCCCGAGAATCCCTTCTTTTAGCATAAATTGGAATTGTTAACTTATTAGATACCAAATTGGATCGTTTGGGATGAGAGTCACAAAGTTCAAGATTTATTTTTTTTTTGGAACTTTATGTCTAATCGATGACATTTTTACAAACACTCATTATGATATCTATGGGACAAAAATAATTGTGACCTCATTATATAAAAAGTAAACAGTCTCTTTGTAAACAATTGTGCATAAATTTTGCATTATTTTTAAACCAAACAGTGATTTCATGGAATAGTTGTATTATAATATGATACAATAACGTTTAAAAACCTTGTTAAGGTTATTTGTTTGATCCCGTATTTTGAAATATATACTCTTTTCATTCTAATGAACACACAAAAAATTAAAATTTGAAAATACAATTTAGAAAGTATTTTTTAGCTCAATCAACATAGAATGTTCATTTTGATGAGATGCTTAGATCTAAGCTCTAAAAGGATTTTTTCTTTTCTAGTTTTTTAGATGGCTATGTTAAGAAATAAAAAAATGATTTTGAGTTTGTCAAGGTTCGTTGTTGGAGGAGAATCCTTTTGACCATATCTAGGAGTTCAAATTGAATTATTTTTCTTGGGATTGATTATTGATATGAAAAAAGTGTATGTGTAAAATTTTAAATCATACAAATACTACAAATATGATTTTCTAGAAATGTGGTTGCATTATTATATGATACTACCGTTGTCTTTATATGTACCTTTCAAGTTCTGTAATCTACTTCTACCATTAGGATGTCACCTTATATAAACTTCTCAAATATTTTTTGAAGACCGCATGCTAGAGAAAATGGGTGACTTTGAAATTTTCACTTTTTTCTTTATGTTACTGGATTCGTCCCTAGTCAGCCAGATGATTAACAATATACAATGCTCTAAATATGTCTAATCGAGTGTTGTAGATCGAAAATTAGTTGGGTAGATAGATTATTCACCCACATATTTGTGTCGGGTAATTGGGTTAGTGATTCATGTCGTATATGATTGGTTTGAATCGATGATCCAAAAATATATTTAAAATAAATAAATAAATAGCATTGGGGTTTAAGGGGACTTAAGAAAACATTAGATAAGTTTAAAAATTAAAAAAATTTATGAAAGGGGTTTTAGGGGTGAGGGAATTGGGCCGGGACCCATACTATCCCAAAACTAGTTCAATCTCAACCTATTTTCATTCAGATTGGCAATCTAGATTTGAAATCGTCGGTTTTCTAAATAAAAACTTTTAGATTTAGATTGGGATAAGCATATGGACAATTTGGATTTAGGGAACATGGTAATGCCTTGATTCGCCATTTTTGCTTTTTCTTTCTAAATTTCTTTGAAATATGTACCCAAGTCAAACTAGAGCGAGGAAATCGGACTATGAGCTTAGCTAGTCAATGCCCAATTATAATTTATGAAAAGAAGTGTTTAAAAAGGATTGAGCAGCTGGATTGGTCACCAGCTGGACCGTTTAGATCGGGGAGAATCAAACCAATTTTGTAGTCTATGAATCGGCCAAAAAATAAAGGAAAAGTATATAATGAGATTATTTATCTTTGATAAAAGGTGATCATAAATAATCTTGATCATTGGATATAAAATTGGGTGGCTGCATTTATTTAATTGATCAAGCTCAATCTTCAAAATAAATTTTTTTGAACTTTGTGACACACCAAGATATCAATTTTCACATTATATGGTACTAAGTAATTGTTTATTTCTCTGTATTGTATGCAATCTCAAAAATAAAATAATATTTTAAATTTAAAAAATAAAATTGGTAGAAACTAGCCGATTCTATCTGTTTGACAAAATACCCCAATTTCTGAGTAACTAGATGCATTCTTTGACAAAATCAAGCCAGGCACTTCGAAATAGGTTGATTCTCACTCTTGAGCAAGAATTAAACCAGGTGCCTACTCATTCAAATCGAGCAGTTGAGTTTTAAATTGCCATTCTGGAAAAAGTTAATACAAAGCCGAGGCTCTAAACAATCAAATTAGAGCCCACCTCAAAAATTTCACTCGAGGAACTTGTTTTGATGCCCAAACTGATCAACATCTAGATGCATTGACATGAGAAAAAATGGATTTCAAGTTTTGAAAATAGTGCATCTTGTAATGTATTTTTGTACTGTCAATTTTCAAAATTTTCAAGTTTTCATAGATTTATTAGATCTACACTATTTTTTAGGCTTTAAATTTTTTAATTAAAGGTGTGAATATATTTTAAAATTATCACAAAGATTTCTAATATTGAAATCACATTTATTGACAATATTTGAAGGTATGCTTTACTTTGCTTGTTTAGAGCCTCGGCTCTATACAAACTGCATCCTAAAAATAAGGGTACCATGGAAGACCAACGATTGACAAAACCAAATTGACAATTTTCAAAATTACCCCCAAAAACAAAGGTACAAGGAGGGAGCAACTTATAAATTTTTCCCATTTTTCACCTCTCCATTTTTTATTAAATTTTCTCCCCAAAACATGAATGAAATAAAATGGGAAGGGAAAATATTAGGGTGTAGTTTGTATAAAGCCTAGACTCTAAACAATCAAATTAGAGCCTACTTTCAAATAGTATCAAGAAATATGGTTTCGATACAAGAAATCTTTGTGATAGCTTTAAAATATATTTTTATATTTATTTATAAAGTTTAAAGCTTTTGATATTTATTTATAAAGTTTAAAGCTTCAAAACTAGTGTAGATCAACATATTTATGAAAACTTGAAAATCTTAAAAATTGACAATCAAAATATGTGTTGTTACAAAATACACTATTTTCAAAACTTAAAATCCAATTTTTTCTCATGTCCATGCATCTTGATGTCGAATGATCAACTTGAAGATATCTAGATGTCAAAACAACCTCTTCTAATAAAACTTTTGAAGTAGATTCAAATTTAATTGAGTAGAGCCTCAGCACTATATAAACTTTTTCTAAAATATTAAGATAGGAATCTGAATGATGGGACTTGAGCCGTCATGCAGATGTTAGAAGATAATTTACGCACGTTTGAGAGCCTCGGATTCTAAATTTGGGTTGGGCGCCTCATTTCAATTAATCGCCCTACCCAACCCTCTTTGATTCTCTTCCCATTCCAAGTATCACATTTTTTTTTGTCTTTTTCATTGAGTTAAATCATTTTCATTGGTTGTAAATGAGTCAAGCATGGAATAATTGAAAAAATAGAAAATAATATCTGAAAAAAATAAATCATGAGAACTAGGTTACCGAGATCGTCATGTTTCCTAACTGAACCTATTAGGGAATCGAACAAATATGAAGGAACCAACCCAATTCTTGGTTCTGACCATGAACTAGGTCAGTTCCCAATGATTTGGGATCTGAATCAGATGATTGTAGTGAAATCGGTGTTTTTTTAAAACACTCATCAAAACTATATGAAGTTATTAGCCTCTTTTTCCTTTGAGAAAAGGTTTATATAAAGTTGCGAACTTCTCATACTGGGTAAGGTGCACTTCAAAAATCCTATAGAAGGCAGAGGTCTGAAGTTGGAAAACCTCCAATTGATCATCTTGATCTCCAGATATGTGGATATAAAATAAAAATAAAAAATTTTAAGTCCTAGAAATAGTATAATCTACGACAAGTTATGTGGACCATCTATTCAAGATCTTCAACTGTTTATAAGATCTGCTCGATCTGTACAGTTTTTTCAATTTGAAAATTTGTAATTAAGGTTGAACATAGATTATCAAGCTATCGTAAGATTTCCTAAACCAGAACTATATATAGCAAAATTTAGAGGCTTGCTTTACTTGTACGATATATGGTGGGTACCTTATACAAACCCCACCTTTTTTTTTTTACTATTATTGTCCCATCTTATCATTTATTGGAGTTACACCTAAGTTTTCTCATCCTTTTTTCTCTTGTTACTGATCCATCTCAATATCATCATCTTAGCTACGCTCAGAGTGTTGTTTCTTGACTACCCAACATTATGTCTATAAAACAAAGGTGATCTCACAACTATCCTATAAAATGTTTCCTTTCGCTCCATAGGTAAGTGGTGATCCCCTTCGGCTCCCGTGCGAAGTGCAATTTGATCAATTTCAAAAACCATTTTCATATGTTATCTGATGGGATGATTGGAAATTTATTTAAATAATGATGGGTAACTGGAAAATTGATCAAAAGGTACTGTTAAAATGTGAAAGAGAACAAATCTTCGGTGTAATTCTGTAAATTATCCATTTAGAAAAGATGAATGTGAACACAATTCAAATGAAGGTTAAAGCTAGTACAGCAAACAAGCGTGTCACTACTTATAAAAGGACCAAAGGTATTGTTCGAATGAGAGGTACTAATGAGATGGAGATTTTAGGAGGTAGATTAAGGGGTGGTTGCCTCTAAAGATGCACACACAAACTAAAGGCACTTAGAAGGTATTATAAGACAAAATAATCTTCCGGATTAATCTTTTTTCTTTTTTTATTTCAACGGGCAGTACATTTCCTCCCAAGATGCATGTTTTGGAGAGAGATGTTTAAAGAGGTTCAAATTTAAGCCACCAATCTGAAAATTAAATAAATTTGAGAGACGCATAGCAGGAGGACGTTCTTAGCTGCTTCAAATTAGTCTCAAACGACTGAATTCAACTTGGCACAATTCCTGCAGCAAATTCATCCAAATTAGAACAAAATCTGATAAAAGCTGATGTGGTGCCAGAGAGAGAGAGTGTGTGTGCGTTATGGGAAGAACCTTAATTTTGAAAACAGGTGTGGTTTGTATAAGGTTGAGCCCCCTAAACCATCACCTCTAAATAATGTCGAAAAATGATTTTTCAGTAGCAAAATTTGTTGTGACGGCCTGAAAATTTATTTTCATCTCTAATAATACTATTTAAAGTTTTAAAAATAGTGTAGATTGAGTGGATCTCTAAACACTTGAAAATATTGAAAATAGACAGTCTAACTAATACCTTACAAAATGCACTATTTTTAGATTTAAAATCTTTTTTCTTTTATATTTATACATTTTGAGATGATCGACATCGAAACATCTTCTAGTGAATTTTTGAGGTGCACCTTAATTTGATTGCTTATAAACACTTAAAAGTATTGAAAATAGATAGTCCAGCTAATACCTTACAAGATGCACTATGTTTTAGACTTGAAATTTTTTTATATATATTTACACATTTCAAGTTCGAAATGATTGATTTGAGGAGTTTTCAACATCGAAACACCATCTTCTAGTGAATTTTCGAGATGCACCTTAATTTGATTGTTTAAGACCTCAACCTTGAATAAATTTTTTCCTTTCTAACAAAGAGAATATTTTAAGAAAAAAAGAACAAATGACGCATATATAAAGGAAAACACTAAAATCCAAGATAGAATCCTCCCGCTGAACTGTCCAAAATAAAGTAACACATAATGAACAAAATGAAAAGAAAACATAATTTAACATAAATAATATTTTAAAGGAAGTACTCAAATACGTCTATAATTGTCTATAATTGTGAGAAACAATGTTAGAGTACGCCATTTTAGCTTGTTTTTACTATCAAAAAGCATATTATAAGACAATTTACCTTTGGTATAAAGCCGCGATCAACTATGTCTATAAGATGTAAAAGCAAACAGCCAGGGGTGTCGCATTGAAGGAGGTCAAAGTCTGAATGAATGTTTCTTAGTGACATACCAAGCTTCAGATTTCACATCTATTGGTTAGACTTAGGAGTAATTATGACCTTGTACAAAAACAAATGGTCTCATTATTTGGTCCCTTCTATTTTCCACATTGCATGTTTTTGCTACTAAACAAATAAATGCACAGTGGGACTTGACTTTATTGCCTTAGACCCCTTCCTCTATCATACTTCACTGTCTCTTTTTCTTAAGAAAAAGTATATTTCCACAATTGACAGACAAATATCTCTTTTCGATCTAAAAGAATGAGTATATGTGTACTAGACTCTAAAGATTAGTTTTACACATCAAAGTATCGAACGATATTACCACAAGTTCTGTTCGGCAATTCCATCCCGAGCAAGCGAATCAGCTTTCCTCATTGGACCCATGCAATTAGGTCTGCATATCCTTTTTGAGTGTCTGAACTCTGAACTTCTTCAAATACATTGAGGTATCAAGGGCATGTCAACTTACCACTCACCCAGCTGATACATTGTTAGATTTCACTGAATACAATTTTGAATGTGTCTCTAAGCCCACATATACTTCACTGTCAGACTATAAATCGAGTTCTTACATCCCTCACCATTGGATCGGTAGGCAGAGTGAATCCCACCATCCAACATAGTTAGAAAAACCAATGGCTCCTCACATTGGACAGTGGAGACCAGCCCACCAATCCTTTTTTCGGGTGCTATCCCACCTGATCAGCACTCTAGTACTACTGCTACTGCTAGTAGAAATGACATCAACATCATAAAAAACAAACCATGTCTACGAAGAAGACACTTATAATAAAACATGATAGTAGTAAGAAAAAGAAGATGCATAATTAGAGCAACTTCTTCTGTCTTTCTTTCCATTTTGAATAACAGAACAAACAGATTCCTAACTCCCAAAAATTACAAACATTTCCTCACACTTTCAAAATCTCAGCGAGCTGTGAGCGAAACCGAAACAGTAGCGTTAGACGGGGCAGAAGAGGAGGAAGATGAAGTGTCACCTCGAACTCGGGTTGCTGAATCGATGAAGGTGGGTTTTGCAGGCTTTGGGCCTGATGGGCCTTTGCTAAGCAAAAGCACCACCACCTCAGACATAGTGGGCCTTGAAGCAACCAATGACTGGGTACATGTGAGGGCAATCTCAATCACTCTTTTTATGTCTTCGGGGTTGTATTCACTTGGGTCAAGGCTATCATCCACAAGCTCCATTAACATATTGCTCTCATAGAGCTTCCAAGCCTGTTTAGGGAGAAGGATTCGTTGTGTCAGAAGTAAAGCAAGGAAATATGTTATAGTCTTGTTTTTGGTGTTTCTGGGTAGGAAGGGATTGGTCCTCTGCAGTCATGCAACAGATTTGGGATGCATCGCGCACTGATTAAATGCGTTTGTTTTAAAAGGAAAGGGGAGAGAGAGAGAGAGAGAGAGAGAGAGAGAGAGACGTACCCTTTATGTTTGAGAAAAGCATTCTCACAATACAGCCTCAAAACTCAAAAAGCAAGAAAATAATGATATACGTATCATGCAGAGAGTGTGACTGGGCACACAACAGAGAGAGAGAGAGAGAGAGAGAGAGAGAGAGAGTGTGTAGTTTTGTAGGAACGAACAACGTCCTCCGTACGTAACGTAACACAATAATATATACTCATAGAAGACGACGACGCCACACAACGA